GCTAACAGTGAGGCTACCAGTGAGGCTACCAGTGAGGCTAACAGCGAGGCTAACAGTGAGGCTACCAGTGAGGCTACCAGTGAGTCTACCAGCTCTACTTATTAGAAAACAAATCTTTATGCTTCAGATGTCAGTTTTATACAGGTGACTTCAGACTGCCCAGTTTGGCTTCTCTAGGCTAATTCTACTTCAGTTATTGAAAATTTTTAAAAATTCATAATCTGACCCAGAGCCCTTGTTTTTAGTTACATATTAAATATTTAAATGAGTAATATCAAATATTTTTTTAAAAGATCAACTAAGCAGAGAGTACTGCATTAAAACACAGATGTTTGTTGCCTCCCATTGATACAACTGGTTATAGCTTTAATTATTACTGGCAGAATTTACCAAATGAACCCTGAAGAAAAACTATAATCCACAAACCTGGAGCTCTTTGTATGGATATTTAATTCATAAAAACAATTAAATCCTCTTTCCAAGTTTGCCTTTTTCTTCTTTCCAGCTTATATTAATCTGTGTCACAGCTTTAAACCTGGAAGCTTTGCACTTAAAATGAAGCCACCTTCATGATTTAAGCAGCATAAACTCGGAGGATAAGCAGCCCTTTCTACTGCAGTTGTCTTTTGCTGCTATTTTCCGTTTGTGCCCAGTTCTGTGTTCTGATCAGCCCCATTTTTACTCTTAGATGACTGTGACTGGCTGTCAGGCAACAGAACCTCCACTGAGAAGCTGACCTTCTTGGACAGGATGACGCTGTAGGTGTTGTCGAATCGCAGCACATCTGCAGAGAAATCAGGCTCAGTCCCCTTCAGACAACTTGCACAAAATCATTCAATAATTCTAGTTTCCACTAATATGTATTGATGAATTGAATAATTTCTTTGATTTTGTTCTCTGACTGGGTTCTACCGAATAACAGATCTGAGACCATAAAGAAACCGGAGATTGTCTCCTAAGCTAAGCCACACTGCCCCTCCCTTCACTCACAGACACCGGCGCCGGCACAGGTGAGGGACCCGTCCTCCGGTACCAGGTGGGCGTTGTATCGCTGACTAGGCAGCACTTCTGTCATCTCACTCGCCCGCTGTCTCTCACCCACCTTGGTTTTCATGAAGACCCCGAAGCCAACGTCTGCACCCTCGCTCATGAATTGCCACCTAGGTGGACACCATGGATAAGGTGAGTTCATCCAACTGTCCTTCCAGCACATTTGGAACTAACCCCAAAAACATTAGATGAAAAGCCATTTTCTCTGGACCTGAAGGCTTCCCCCCTTCGGTCTGCTTGGTACGAGAAACATTCCCCCAAAACAGGAGTCGCCCTGGAAGCCAGTTACCGCAGCACGCTTCCTGGGAAGAGGATCTCATATTCTAGCTGATGGGAGGATCCACGGCTGATGGTAATGCTCTGGTCGTACTGCACTTTGACGCAGTCCTGCTTGTAGTATGACTTTGGCACAACTCCTCCATACTTAATCTAGAAGCAAAAAGGTCATAGTTAGGAATACAGGGTCTGAAACGGCTTTGATTGGATACTTCACATATCCTGTATCCAAATGGATTTTATACAGTGAGTTATGGGTATCAGAAGTGGGATCTGAACCCATGCCTCTATTATGGGAGGAGTGGTGGCTCTGAGGCAAGGGAGGCAATTGGAAGGTTGCTGGTTCAAATCCTGTGAATGCCAGAAGTGATCCTACTCAGTTGGGACCTTGAGCAAGGCCCTTAACCTGCAATTGCTTCATCCTGGGCATGATGTTAATCTACATCAAGGACTGTAAGGAGGTCCTCTAACTTACAGGGAAAATTTGGGGGTTGGTGGCAGGATTGGCACTGCAGTCACCGGGAAGAAAAACGTCACGCCGTTCCATTCCACTCAAACGAATGTGGTGCTGAGGTATCCGCACTGCACGGCTGTACCTGGGCTGTCCAGCCTGGGGGGGCTGGTTGCGGGATGGGTGCGGCACTGCGCCGTATCAGTACGTCCGAAATAGTTCGGTTCTGGGCAGCTGGGTTGTAGTTTGGAATTAATTGCCAATAGTAACTTTTAAAAAAGGGATTTTCTATCCGGAGCAAGTGCGTATGTACCAGAGACTTGGACTGTTACTGCCAGACACACTCTCATGACACCACTGTCCCCATAGAAGAGATTTTTGAAACAATAGCCTTCAGCTCTGCATAGCAGCCACTGTCCTCCATCCTGAAATGCTCACCTTGGTCCTGCACCTGGGGTCCCCATCAGGGTCGGTGAGATTGCCCCCGTATGCCACCGGCAGCTGGTCAGGGTCAATGTGTTCCCGTAAAACCTCTGGCCATTCATCTGCAGGGAGATAGATAAGGGCGGAGGGTATAAATACAAAGCCCCCTCCCCCCTTCCAAAAACAACAAGCATATTTACCTGGATTTAAGGCCTTGAGTTACACACTTACCGCCCAGGATATTGACCTTTTGACGGGTGTCCTCACACAGCAAATGCTTCACAAGGTTGTAGGCGACAGGGAAGAGCTTCGGAGCTGTGGGGGAAACGGGAGATACAGCTGGTCCATGGCGCATACACACACACACACACACACACACACACACAGACACACGCACACACACACACACACTCGCACATGTACAGTAGGGTAAACATATCCTTATGGGGACTGCTCATTCATTCCAATGGGAAAAATGCTAACACTAACTATGACAACCTTAACCCCTACCCTGTCCTAACCATAAGTAACCAAACAAAATACAAGAGTTTTTGCATTTTTAGTTTTTTCACAGCAGTCACCGATTTTTATAAAATAGAGTTTAAAAAACTGATGTTTATCACGTTATGGGGACACTGTGTCCCCATAAGGATAGGTAAACCCGCTCACACAGACACACACAGACACACGCAGACACACACACACAGACACACACAGACACACACACATGCACACACACATGCAGACACACACACACACACACATATATATATATACACACTAGAGAATTTTAAAAAGGAACTATCATAAAAATTGCAAAGCTTGCTAGGTTTTGTTTCCAGTGACTCAGTAAAAATGTTTTAGCGCAACTTATCAGTGTTTTGAACCCAGCAGACTATCGCGCTCCTTGTGATGTGATATTTGCATGTCGATATTAATATCGTACATGGTGCTAGCCCATTGCGCTAGGTGGCGCTGTTGTCTCATAGCGCCGCTCTGTGTGTGGCGTTTACATGTGTGGGCGTGGCTTTCTGGGAGATTCTCCAGTTCACTTCCACTGTTCAAAAACATGCAACTTCAGTGAAGTTTGGTTTACCTAAACTGACCGAAAAAGCTAAATTATCATATAGTGGGACAGTCTGGTCCCCACAGTGTAACACAGACATACGCACACACAGCCACACTTACATATATCACATCTAACACATGTGTTGATGAGGTTCCCTAAATAATGTATGAACATGGTGTTGCGGTTGGCCTTGAGTTAATCCTATCACTGGAAGCACAGTAATTTAGAGAAACCAATTCATTCAAACCCTGTGTGTTAAACCACTGAGCAACTACTGAACAATCCCAAGGCTCAGACACCCCTTAATCAACTTTTTAAATACATTAGCAGCATGAATTAAGGAACCTTAATGAAAATGAATGAATTCTGATTTACCTTTTATGAGAAACAATCTCTTGAGTCCTTCGGGGTAGTTCTCCTCAAACATGGTGAGCACCTTCAGCACATCAGAAACAACATAAATCCTCATAAATGACTCACGAAGGGACCAGGACGTGGTGCTCGAGGGGCTGGGCCACAAGCTGGGCACCAGGAATGATTTTTGCGTGAATCTCTCACCTTCAAGGTCAAGTATCAGTTTGAATTTAAACACATTCTAAAAATTTGCATATAATACAGTTATATGATTGTTTTGGGGGACTTCGAAGCCTAAATGCAAAAAAATTCTTAAGGTACAGAGACATTTTCTTTAAACCTATTTTCATTAAGTAGAGGATGGCCAACACATACATGCTGAGGTGATAATTTCACTTTTGAGACACTCCTTCCCATTCTAGGTCACAAAGACTGTGCTGCTAGGACTGAGACCGTGTGCTGCTAGGACTGAGACCGTGTGCTGCTAGGACTAAGACCGTGTGCTGCTAGGACTGAGACCGTGTGCTGCTAGGACTGAGTACCTCTCCGTAGGCTTCGATTGCAGGTTTCCACAGGTGTTTAAGGCCTAGACCCTCGCAGTCATAAATCAAGGTAATTGACTCCACATTCTTTCCCAGCTGAAAGGTTATGAGATGGAAAGTGAATTATAGTCAGGTTAGGTTAATATTCCTGACATATAACTAAGAGTGGGTGGGTGGCTGGTGTCACATCTATATGTCGCAGAAAGTTATCTTAACAGGCTGACCCCTGATGGCACCTCAAATATTGACATACCGCCTTGGATTGCTTCTCACATTCCATTCGAAGCATCTCTGTGTTTCGTATCTTATATCTTAGAAAATCCTGTTTACTGGCAGAGAGGAGGAGGCCTTTGGGGTCCAGTGGGCCGATGACATCATACCAGATGGGGCTTCCCTCTCTGTCATAGCCGCACATTCCCCCTGCCAGATACTGTTCAATCACCTGGAATATGGGACATTATACATGGGGCATTTCACTGCACAGTGGTACAGTGTACGACTGTGTATATGACAAAACAAACTTAAAACTTGAACCTTACCTGTTCAGAAGCTTCAATATAGATAATAATATGATCATTTCAGTAGTTTAACAAAGTACCTCTGGTGGCTGCCAGGCGGTAGTTATCGTGTCCACCTTCATGCGTTTCCGGAATTCCACATGCTAAATAAAATTGGAAACAGTTTATTCAGACCTGGGTTTACAAGGGCGCCTAACGGTGCATAGCAGCCTCATTTTAATGATGTATACCCTCAGGTGTAAGTCAGTCAGTCCACGACTGTGATACACTTGCAGGCACTTCAGTCATTTCAGTTACACCCTTAGTGATTTTGTTCTGGACCCAGTACTGAGTTTATCGGTTAAAAGCAGTATTAAAATACATATCCATATTTCAGATTGCTTCTTCTGTTTTCTCAAAATACCGTCACTTCACAAGCAAAGGTATCATGATTTTCTGTTTCTGTGTCATTAACATTGTAAGACATTATTTGTATTACCAATGTGGTCACCTAGGTATAAATAAAGTAAATAGAATTGTAACTAAATGCTACATGTATAAGCGTACTGTGATTTTTACTACTATTTCCCCAAAAGGAAAAGGTACACCTAAAAATTGTTATTTGACATAGATATCAAATCTATACATCAAAGATATCTAAAAGCCATTTCATAGGAATTCAGACGCGGTTCTACTACCATTAGCCAATGTAAAGATCTAAGATTTCTCTGATGAATACAGCACTTTTTCAGACACTGTTATCAGATTTATATACTCTGCAGTCACTGCTTGCAAGTAGCAGCACAGGCATGTAACATAGTGAAATGCGTTTAAGCCGAATTAAAATGGTAACAAAATTAATATTGGGCTACTTAAGAAACACCGTGGAGCTGTTTTCAACAGACAACTCAAAGGACCATAACTAGGCAATTGACTGGAGGTTTTTAAAAAACAAGGACCTATTTCTTTACCTTTCGAAGCATGGCTTCTGCCTTTGACACACTGAAGGATCTGGCTGAAAAAGAATATCAGTGAAAAATCATTCATTTTGATGGAAGTGTTAGTTTCAGTAGAAATGTTTCCAATGGTAAGACATAAATTTCTACTTAGCTTCAATTCTAATGCTAAGCTACCCTAAAAATGAGCATGTAATGTACAATTGTAACATTAACAGAAATTGTTATAAGCAGCTTGAGCTGAAGGCACAGGACCCCTTTTATAACCAAAACATACCCATATAACCTTTAACTTGCTCTGTTGGTTATCAGTTGAAATATACACACATGCAAGCAGACTGGAAGGAATGGCAGTTGATCTCATGGTGTGGACTGTTGACTACATCATTCACTACAAGAGCAGCACGCAAATTCAGACTTCTGGGAAAATTTCAGCATAGTTTAAAAAAAGCAAGGATGGAATCCAGTTGTAGATAATGAGTCCCTAAAGGTGATGATGCACAAGGCAACATTTTGAGCAATGTTGACTGGTGATATTGCTAAGTGATGACGCTTGGCCACTTTGTCATTCAGAATGGGCAGCAAATTTCTATCTGGACCATTTTGATCTCAGACAGTCTGCAATGTTTTGAGATCTTTGAATCACGATGCTAGCTGTCACGCCCCACTCGTGCTGCTCCTCCCGTGTGCCACACCCCCTCGTTAACCTCGTGTGGAATCCCCGTGTCATCAACTGTTTCGAGTCTTCACTATTCCTGTGTATTTAAGTCCACGTTAGAGTATGTTTCTCGAGTGCTGTCATTAACGTCGCTACCCGTCGTGCCCCGTGTGCCTTGCTGTTCCGTATTGTTCTCCGAATAAATCCCTTGTTACCCGACTTCCCGACTCCTTCCCCTGTTTCCCTGGTCCGAGCCCCCGCTCGCTTCGTGACACTAGCAGCCGATCACAAGACCGACTTGGGGCTTCAGAAAAATTCAACAAAAATGGCAGCTTCTCAGTGACCATGGAGTGTCTCCTTATAGCTTTTTCGCCAGTGCATTGTCTTGTGTAAACTTCAAACAGGGAATTTGACTAATTTTATGCTCAAAATGCCAACAGACACCCAACTTTATCTGTTAAGGCTGTAATTCAGACATCTAATTTTTTTAACAAAATGCTACCTGCTGTTGCCGACTGTCTGTTGCCTTGATTGGTTGCCCTGTGTCTTATCTGGTTGCCCGTTGCCGGCAACATTGCTCAGAAAGTTGCCCCATGTATCATCACCCTAAGAAATTTTACATAAATCAGAATGAATCCAATAGTCACGTCTCAGGAAGTGAAATCAAATCAGTGTATTAGCACCAAGCAAATCTGGAATAGCTTCTTGATTTAACAGTTTTGGTTTTGTAATAGTGTGCTCTTTGCAATAATCTGGAAAAATAATAATCAGAATGCAGAATGCACACGACTGCCTTTTTCAGCAGATAGAACCACTATTTAGATCCCATCGTAGAAATAGAACCCTAAATTTTTCTGGCTCATATTATAGGAGTCATACAATACTCTCATTAAAAATCTGCATATATAAAAAGGTACAGAGCGTACAATACTTTGGAACAGCGTCAGCTAAACAAACCTGTCTGATGTAATGCCACTCTTTGAGCCCTTAGTGCTGCTGTCAAAACAGGACAGAGACAAAGCGACTTCCCTATTAGCTGGGATCTATGAACATTCAAGGTCATTTGTGCACTAGAGTTCGGCCACATTAGGAACTGGTTGTTCAAGCGATGACACAAATAAGTTCAACAGCACCCTGCTTACCTTACTATAACAATGTAAGAGCACAAACATTTTGGGTTCACAACTGCAATTGTTTTTACACAATAGGCCATTAAAGAGGAACATTATAACTACCATCATAATCACATAACACACAATGGGGAATCTTTTTCACAAAAGAATCTTTAATGTGTTAACCTTATTCTTGATTACCACAGAAATAACTCAGGGTTGCTAATTAGAGGAGAAGTCGTCAGTTTCAAATTGCATTGGCCCACTGCTTTTCATCTATATGTTTAACTTTGACATTCTTATCACAAAGACAGGTCACTGACTTCAGAATAAGTCACATATGCCAATGGTATAAAGTCCATCCTGTCAAAACATATTGACTGATCTGATTCCAAGAGATGTGCCCAACTAAATATTCTGCAGACAGATTTTTGCAGCATTGTTGACTTTGATAAACAGGTTTTCTGGATGTACAAAAGTTTTCCCAGCCAATTTTGCTTCATTACTGGTGAAGCCAGTTACTATCAGAATTGTCCGTGTTCATCTATGTAAATATACGGAATTATGATGTTTTCCTACTCTGTTTCCATTACATACTTATATGAGCTCTGCTCATATTCAACAGTAACAATACACTGTTGCTGGATTAACAGACTAATAGCTTGTGTGCTGTTATTTCATTTCTATCAGAATGGATAGCATCACAAGTATATAATGGAAGCAACTTTTAAAAGTGAAAATCTGCAATGAACTCCTTACAGATTCATGTCAACATCTGTGGGACGGTGTTTCATAAATGGTGTCTAAGGTTGTGTTTGTACAGATATTTCCTCATACACAGCACTACTAAGTTATTCAAATTCACTAAATTAACTGCTGTTTCAAAATGCTTGTTACTTTGTATAAAAGGTAATATAATCATTAAGTATGGCTGGAGGTTGGAGTAAAAATCTATGTATATACAACCAGGGGCACTGCTGAAGATTTTGGGCCCCATGAAGGCACATCATATTGGGCCCCTCAGTCCAGACTAATCCAGTTATTTTCCAAATTTTTTAGGGCCTCTGTCAATCCGGGGCCCTTGGAATCGTCATCCTATGGCAGCACTGTATACAACTTGCCAGAAAATTTACAGATACAAGACAGCTCTGATTGCTGGGTGATATTCTGATAAGTTCTTGAAGAAACAGGGGGATTTGTTTGAGTTTTAATTATAAAGCCTGTGTGTTTAAATATCACAAATATTACAAAGCAGCAGGCGATACACACAAACAGTTAAAAAGTGTTGTGTGAGATGTGTATAATCCTAGTCATCGCTGGCGCTACTTTTCCTAAAACCGTGTTTGGTAACAAGGCATTCGACGAGGCACAAATAATTATGTAATGAATATGTATTAATTAACCACAAACTAAGTCTTAGTCACATACTGATCACATGTTAATTCATCATTAATGAATCATGACTCATGTTTTATCACACAGTTACTATGTATCAATTATTATTACTACAAGAACATAAGAATGTAAGAAATTTACAAAAGAAAGGAGTTAGCTATATATTAATTCTGAAAACCTTTGTGATCTACTGAAGGAACTGCAGAAGGAATAAATCATGAATAACACAAGTAAAATAGATGTTTAATGAATTAATGAATCATGACATCTTTTATGAAGTAGGGACTATATATGTTCATGATTTGTACTTCAGTAGTAAATGAGTTATTACCAAGTATTTGTGCCCTATCAAGTAAAGTGTTACTGATGTTTCTAAATTCTGTGTAGGGGTACTGAGAATTGTTACAGACGTAATAAAGTCAGACAGTAGGAAAGACTCACACAATAAATTACAGATGCTCCTCTACTTGCGAACTTTCAACTTACGAACTTTCAGACATACGAATGAAGAGGACTGTAAGTCCAAGTTGTGTTCACTGGGCTCCTGTTTCCTGTCCGCAACATCAATTTCTTTTCCTGCGCACCAATCCCGCCTAGTACGCCTTCTGGCCGCTACTCCCGCCGCGCAGCAGCGTAGCGTGCGAACTCCCAGCATCCTAGTTATCTGTACTTGCGTAAACCCTTTAAATGTTGTTGAATAACGACTTACGAACATTTCAAGTTACGAACAGCCGTAGGTTGCTTTTGTGCAAATTGTTCAAAGCATAAAATGAAAGAAATGTATGTAAATCAAAACAAGGTACAGCTTCTCTCCAAATTACAAGTTTTCAGAAACAACTAAGGAATGAATTGCGATGAATTAAATCTTAATATCGGTGGATTCCAAATCAGCTGTTAATACTGTCACCTCTGAGCCAGCGAAGCAGGAAATGGTCATGCTGGGCTGGAAGTTGTGGCAAAATATCCTGGATTCTCTCTCGCAACTAGAAGTAAAAATAACATCAAATACAGTGAGATGAAAACATAAAGAAATAGTTCATGAGAGCTATGAAGGAGTGGATTTATGATGAATAACTATAGACTAATACCATGCCTAGATGCTCACAGTTTTCAGTACCTGGATGGTATTTAAACAGGAGACAGCTAGTCTTTTCATGATCTACGCTTTAGTTTTTGTGTAGGTGCTATGGTAGTAGCTTTACCAGTGGCATTGTGAACAGAACACCTTAACGATGGTACCAGCACCACGTCTCTGCATGTGGGCACAACCAATTTATTCCAAAGATCAAGCATCCCAACTGAAAAGTCTAACATTGACCCTCTGCCCAAAATACACACACAGAAACTCACATGAACCTATAAGATTTTCTGTCTTTCTAACCCCTATAAGACAAATATTTGGAAATATTTGTTCTTGTGGGATTTTGAACTTTGACCAGGCCACAGTGAACATCCACTTAATTAATTAAATATTGTCTTGTTAAAATATAGATTTTTTTTACATGATTTATATGATTTGTCATCATTATAATGTAATATACATCTTTTTTTTTTTTTGAATAAGCATGATTTCAAAATACATGTACTGTAACACATTGTCACATCTAATCAGAAACACATATTTGTTCTAATTCCCAATGGATTGTTAAAGTGAATAACAGCAAACATACTTTTAAAGCAAATCCAGGAACTTTAAAGCGGTGCTGCATCATATATTCGGTCATTTCTATAAATTCCTGTTTCGAATAAAAACATGAATACTTCGGCAAATTGGAGAATTACAGAGATGTCAGTTTTCATTCTGCATTCTTAAGGATTGGAAATGGCGATACATAGAGCATATTGATTAAAAGAGAAAAAAGGCAGAGGGAAGGAGTGGAATGAAAAACAGTCGGAGGTCTGGCATTTTTTTCCACACAAGTGGGATACGGCTGTTTGCAATGCGATAAAATGGCATGGCATGGGTCTACAGAAAGACCTTTTGTAACTTACCGGTGCAACGGAGAGTTCCGTGAGATGGTCTGTTAGCTTGTAAGTTATAATTAATACAATAAGAGTACCTGCTTTTTTTTTTTTTTTTTTTTTAAATAACCCATTTTCCGACAATGCCCTTGTCGAAATAACCGTTAGACAACTTTATCTTTCACTTTTTTGGAGATAAGACAATTTAGTTATTGTCAAGATAAGCAAAATAATATATTATATAGAAAAATAAAAAATTGCAGAGAAATCTAATATCAAAATATTCGATAAAGTTCCAGCAACAAAAATGATCAGCATTTATTTAATCTAGAATTGATAAGTTATTTTTAAAACATTGCCAAAACATCGAACTATATTTATCGATTTGTTGGCAAAAAAAATAAACAAATCATTCGTACGTCAAAAGTTAGAAAACATCAACTGCATATAACAATGCTCTTCTTTTAATCCCTTAATACCCCATACAAGATTTCCACCTCGGAGGTAAATAGATATAGGCTATGTGTTAGGGCAACAAAGCAGAGCAGCGACTAAAAACCAAAGCGAAGCTAAGGAACTCACCTGCTGCAGGGCTTCGGATTGCTTCGGGCTCAGATCACCCACACGGCCGCTCATTTTGCTCCCGGACCCGGACCGCGTACTGGATGCGGCGCGAACCGGCAGGTGCCGAAACCTGCTGTCCCTCCTCAGCGACCGGAACCTGCCACCCAAAGCAACGCCCCCCCCCTAAACGGCCAATTAGACCGCGTGTACATACCGGCGGCGGCCTTCGCAACAGGCAGGTCAGTCCCAGAAAATGCGCATGCAAGTCATACAACACTCCTGTTGGTCTATATCAAAACGTCCAGTGGCCGATTAACATGTTAACAGACCCCTAGGCTACACTAATCGTAGGCCCCTCTTCTTGTTCCACTCCCCAAAAATGATACAATTAACTGTAAAATTATTAAATAATAATAATAATAATAATAACTATAAGATAATCATAGATGATTGTGACTGTACCAAACGAGAGCAATAACATCGGCTATAGGGGAACAATTAACAACCCGGCAAGCTAACAATTTCACGTTAGTCATATGCAGCGACCAGAAAGAGGGCAGCAGAGACCCCATTGAATAGACCCATATCAACAGTGAAACCATAAAACATTAATTACACTCTGATCCAGTGCGTGTCAACTGCATCCACCAGGCGCTCTCAAGACACATTTACCATAGATAACTTTACGGAGAAAGGAAAATTCCAATAGAATGTACAGCAATCATTATAACCATTTTAATGTTTTCCTCTGTGCATTTTTGATGAAGACAGACTCCGTATAACAAACGGCATACCGATACCAGAAAATAAAGGACTTCTAAAAACAATTAAAATAGATGAACGAGCTAGCCGGCCTATAGGGCCCCCTGATCAATCTGCGCCCCGAGGCTGCATGCAGCTTAGGTGAGCCTGTTTATTAATCAGCCCCTGAAAAAGTCCATCATAAGATTACGTAGGATAATTAACTCTGAGTAGAAAATAGGACTGAAATGGAGAGGAGACCCAGCAAACTTAATGATTACTTGAAACAGGCAATTTTTCATTGCCAGAACAAAAAAATAAATAAATAAAACGAAAAGTCTCCCATTGTAAAATGTAGATTGCTAGTATTATATATCTCTAAATATTTTACCGATCAAATTACAGAACAGAACAACGAACGACATCAGATTCATTACCATTGACTGATCCAAACAAGCCGGTGATATAGCCCTAATAGAGAACACTGGACAAATATAACACCTTATGGATAAGAACCGCTAGTTTGACACTTACACCGCAGAAGAAAAATCGTCTCTCTGTAACTATATCTGTTAATACAATGGTAGGTAATTAGTATAACTTAATTGTACTTAAATACATCATGCCGTCTCTAGTCTCTACTTATTAGTTTTTGTCCGGGTGAATTTGGATAGCTAGCCTAAATTGCACGGATACTGGGAGAAATTTAAGCGTGATAAATAAGGTGGCAGGCATCTATCAATCCTCGCAGAACTGTTTATGCCTTTCCAGCGACAGTGCATCTCCGTCCATGACGGTTCACATCGGCAACGCCTGCTGGTGACTGTACTGCCTGAAGCACGACATCCAACCCGGCGGGCACATGCCGAGCGACAAGACCATCGGCGGTGGGGGGACGCAGCCGGGAAGCGGCTGTTTGTGGACCTTGAGCCCACTGTGGTCCGTGGGTCGGGAGACTTCCAGTAGCGCTGAGATAACTGGGCATATTATATTTCGTGATTCCTTTATTCCATCAAGTTTTCCTTTGACCAATTCACCTTCCCTCGAAAACCACTAACGAACTTCTCGTTCAAGACGCAAGGTGGCGATGTCGCGCTCGTAAACGGCGCCATTGGACTAAACGTTTTAGCCTATGGGGAGGTCGCCGTCTCCGATGCGATGGAAGTAAATTCGGGTAACACCTTACCCCTATGTTTGCCTGGTGCCTCCGGATGTAGCCTTGGGTAGCCTATGCATTAATCCACCAGTGACCTTCACCCACATGAGATCAAGTCAATCGGACCTGCTTGAGCATTACATTAGTAAAAGTAACTAAAACCAGAGCCTGCAGTGCTTACGATAACGATGAGACTGATTACAATGTCAGTCGAGATTTATGGCTTCAAGTCTGGGTAATTAAAAGATGTGGTTTCTTGGTGTGTTCAAGGATTCGTTTTAGATGGTGTTAGTGTACAGTATAGATGCATTCATAAAATGCACTGACCTGAACAAAATTAATCTCTTGCTAGGATTCGAGCCGGGGGTTTGCCAAATCAAGTAATTAATTCTGCTTTATAAAATCTTGGTTGCATAGTTTTATTTAGAATTGTTTAATTTTAATACTATGATGATCCGTGAATTCCGTATGTATTGTAATAAACCTACAATAGCGTTGGGGGCTATAAGGGAAGAATAGACCACCACAAGACTTCTACTACAATTACAAAGATAATTTTAGTCAATACAATTCATACAGCGACCTATCGGGTCGGGTCTGGGTTCACAAAGGGTTCGGCCCCGCTATCTCCCCGTAGCAAACCAATTAACCTTCCAAACGTGTGTTAACCCACGTTACCACACAGTAAATCCCGCACCACACCACATTCCTATTAGGGCACGGCCCACCAATAGCACTGCAATACTCAGCAATCCCCACACTTCGGGCACAGGCAAGCGTCACGGAACCAGTACCGCCTCTGTAGTCCCGCCCCGACCCCTAGCGGGCTACGCTGCTTACTTTAAAAGACACAAAACAAACATACAAGGACAAGATTAAAACATAGCGTCCCCCCCCCTCCGAGGCTCAAGACCCTCCCCCGGGGAAGGAACATTCACACAGGTCCGCAATCGAATAAGACACATCGCGGAAAGGGAATTCCACCGCCGCTACGTCACTATGGGGATGCCGCTATTCACCTCTATCAAACACCCCAGACTCAGCAACGATCATGCACTCCTAACTATCCTCCCCCTAATACACCGGAACCTGTCCCTGCAGCCCGCTATCTGGCTTCACCGCCGGCAGCCCTGAACGGCATACGAGCGGCACCGCCCTCCCAGAACCAACGAGTGCTGTGCCTAACAAGCAATCTCTCTCACGCGACTCTCTCCCCCTCTCCCTGTATTCTCCCTCTTTTAATCCCACATCCATAACAACCCAGGTGTAACCACTTAATTAACCTTCCACGCCAATGCCTCCCCCCTCCACACACACACACACACACACACACACACACATCATTACAGTATAATGTTAAAGTATTTTCCCAACTAATCGTTTCGTACAATAAACAAATAAAATGAATATATGCTTGAAGTTGCTTAGATGAAGGATAATTTTTCAGCCTAGTATTGCAATATCCAGTTTGTTTAAAAGTGAGCGTCCTGAATATCTGCTTTTAGATGAGGTTCGCACGCGCATATACCGCCAGTTCTTAGAATTCAGTGATCAATTGTCATTGTTGACATACCACAGCATACAATGCACAACAACGAAATGTGTCCTCTGCGTTTAACCCATATGTGACATAGCAGCTGCAGGGGGCAGCTAATTCAGCGCCCGGGGAGCAGTGCTTGGGGGCGGTACCTTGCTCAGGGTACCTCAGTGGTGCCTTGCTGGTCAGGGATTCGAGCCTGCAACCTTTCGTTCCACCCAGAGCAGCTTATAACTGGTATGGAGGATGCAGCCAGTAACTATACTGGAGGAGAGTACTCCATTAGCAAAGGATTGTGGACATGATACTGGACCAGGTTTGAAAACTGGTAGAATTTCATTTTATATTTCATATTTTTGCTGAGAACATAATGACGGCCGATTGCTAAATCTGGCAATTATATATATAGTGTTTTTGTTTTAGTTTATGAAGTAATTTGCTTTGGCAACCCTTGGTACTTATTACTTATGAAGAATGTTATGAAATTCCCTTTGATGGCGGTTTGCTTTATAGAAGCAGTTCGTCATTGTGCAAACTTTTCCCTATGAACATCAAGGTTTGGATAATATTTACCTCTGTGTTTCTGATGAATAGATTTAACTTCCATTTACCTTTCAGTCTGATAGAGTCTTAATCCTTCATAGCTTTGGAGGCGGTCATTCGCGCTTTGCCTCTCTGCTCATGGAGAAACTTTCCGTCGATTATGGAAAAAAGAAAGAAGTCTGAACGGGAATTCGCTGTTTATCCTGCACCACAGGTATACTATTTTTTTCTGATTAAGACATTTAATGAAGTCTAACTAATCTAATGTCTTTATTAACACATTTAATGAATTGAACAGAAGAATCTAGTGTCCCTGGCTTTGAGACAATGTAATGTGAAAATGTGCTTTACAAATACAATTCAAGTGAACTGAAATTTGATGTGAAATATCTTTTAAATTGGCACTACAGTTAGCCATGTTGCTGTTAAATTGGACCTAATCAGCCTCTCCCTTAGCACCAATAAGATTACGGCTTGTCTTTTTTTTGTGTACATCCACCCGTAAGCATTCTGACCGCTTTGTTTGGGATTTACTGTAGGTTTCCATAGCTCTTGTAGAGCCATATAGCTCCATCATGACTACTCACTCTACTTTAGAGTACTCCGACTGCACCTTCATGGTTGACAACGAGGCCGTCTGTGAATCTCAACATGGAGCGCCCCACCTACACCAACCTGAACAGGCTCATCGGCCAAATCGTCTCCATCACTGCTCCCTGCGCTTCAACGGAGCCCTGAATGTGGACCTGACTCAGTTCCACACCAACCTCGTGCCTTACCCGTCATCTCGGCAGAAGAGGCATACATACCACGAGCAAATGTCGGTGGCTGAAATTACTGGTGCATGCGTCAAGCCTGAAAAGCAGATGGAGAAATGTGATCCTCATCACGGCAAATAAATGGGCTGATGCGTACTGTACCATGCAGACGTGGTACCCAAGGATGTAAATGCGGCCAATGCCACTCTCAAGACCAAGAGAACCATCCAGTTTGTCAACTGGTGCCCAACTGGTTTCAAGGTAAATATATACCTGTCATATACCTGTTTTTCTGGCTTTGGCTCTCAGCGGAGGAGGACGCACTTCTCTCCCTCTCCCTCCTCTTATCTTCCCTGCTTCGCTCCTCTCGTCTCATCCAGTCTACTGTCTTCTGTCTATACCCGAGAGACCCTCTCAGCCCTGCTCTTCAAAACTAAGGAAATCATGGATTTGATCAACTGGTCTCTCAACGCAACTGACACCATCTTCTCGACGAGAAGCGCAGGTTTGGGGGAACCTGACTGTCCTGCAGGAACGTACGCAGCCAGCTACACGATGGACGGATGGGAGAAGTGGAGGGTCGTGTGTCTGGCGGCTCTGTCCGTGGAGGACATCGAAGATATTTACCTATTCGGAACCATGATTACAGGTCTGATGCTGATTGGATTAGGCATCACCCTGGTTTATTGAAAATTGAAGAAAACGGTGACAGCCGTTCAAAGCCCCACTAGGCTGGCCGGGATGATTGACGGAGTTGGCAGAGCTGTCGGCATTCAGACTTTGGCTCTAGATCGCAAATTGGATACCATCACTGTGACTATGGACCACAGACTTGATAACATCACGGAGAAGCTTTCCGGCTCTGCAAAGGATTTTGGATGGCGGAGACCAGCCTGGACATTAGAGGAGCTACAAAATTACAGCTTCTCGTCTGAAAACCCAAACAACCCAATTTTATCTGCTTCTTGCTCCCCCCTAATCAGCACAGGCCTTGGCCAAGGCCGCTGCTGAATTCAACAACTCCCCCAGAAGGACAATGCAGCGAGACTCTCCTGCATCCCTCTCCCCCAACCCCAAGGACACCCTCCCCAGTAAACATCGCATGTGTATATGTGACATACAAAAAAAAACCTGAATCTGAATTCTAGTGTTGAGTGGGCTACTTGCAGTAAGGATACACCAGTATAATACAGATACACAAAATAAATGATAATAAAGCAAAAAGGCATTTAAATTGGCATTCCGCTGCTGAAGCCATTTAAAGAAAGCAAATTTAAAGCAATCTTTAAAACCACTTTGATTTAAAATGGTTAAACAAGCTTTGACAGTATTTGTAATATGCATACGTTAAAATTATTAAGGTGATTACTTAAGTAAAACCATTATTTTATCACTCCAGATTGGCTTCAACTATCAGCCACCCAGCATGGTGCCTGCAGGAGATCAGGCCAAGGTGCAAAGGGCCGTCTGTGGTCTGCATGCTAAGCAACACCTCAGCCACTGCAGAAGCCTGGGCCCCGAGTCTGACCTGATGTATGACAAGAGGGCTTGTGCGTATTGGCATGTAAGTGAAGCCATGGATGAAGGTGAATTCTCTGAAGCCCGTGAGGATCTGGCAACCATGGAGAAAGATTCTGAAGAGGCAGCAGTGGATTCTTTAGTTGAAGACTTGGAAGGAGGATAGAAATAACTGGCTGCAAAGCAACAATTCCTTCTTTTTGTGTTCCCTGAAATAACGCCTAGTATTTTACTGTCAGTCTCAGTACTTGTGTAAAGAAAACCTTTTCATCTCTTTAATGTAATTTCCTGTGATAGTTTAAGCCATTTTATTATCTATGGTTTGTCATTGAAATAAATGCCTTCAGAGATCTGTGGTTAACAAAAAGTGTTTGGTGCAGTGGGTATTGTGTGAGAAGAGTCGTGCTTTACACCACACTCAAGACCACACCCAAGTACCAAATTATGCTTTTTAGATACAATCTTTGTTTGCTTTGTAATTCCGGAAGATTAACATTACAGTACATACTTAAAACTTGGCACTGCATTAACTGCAAGATAACTGCAAATAGTGTTTAGACTGAGGGATGACGTCATCATAGACTCCATGTGTGAAACATGGTAGAATAAGGAGCAGGTGCCCTGAGTTACATGGTCTTGCAGCTGTGAAAAGGCCATGAGAGCAACCACAGTGTAATGAACTATACATTAAATGATTTATTCCCTCATACGTAATTAAAAATGCACAGGAATTCTTGTATCCGTCAACATCAGATGGTTGAATGTTGCACTTGACTTGTAACATATTTCTCATACTTTAATCCTTTTATATGATGTACAATAATGATTATTGTATCATTTTGACATGTAAGACACTGTATAGCACAAGAGATTGTGAGGTAATCAAGAAGCACAAAGAAGCGTACTGCCATGTAAGCATGTACAGGAACAGACATTGTATAAAGCTCGTCTCCATTTTTTTGTGTATTTATTTGAAAGAATAGTGTTATTAATTATTGCTATTTTATACTTGTTCTGGTTTCTTGAACACACTTGAATGCCACATACGAGGGCTATTACCGAGCCTAGAAACTAAATCGTCCTAGAACGTCCTAGAACGTCCTAGAACGTGGGAAAACATCAATGAAAATAAAATTCTGAATAAGAACTCAAGTATAAAAACTATTTTATTGATTAAGGTTTAAAAATAGAGGTAACTTCTGGAGGAGTTTTACTACATCTTTCCTTAGTTATACAATACAGAATTACTGATCAACATATTTTACAGGAGTGTCAGAATTTGTTTACAATACATGAGGGTTTATATAATAAAATAGGGTTGTAATAATTGTGTATGGAACACGAGAAAATTAACATCAAAACACAAAAAAGCTATATTTCTGGTACTACAGTTTTAGTTTGGCAGTCATTCATGTATAATATTGTATTAAATGGCAGAATGTTATTTCCCTAGATTTTTGAAGGTACCACTGTTTCTCCAGTTAAATTCATCATCCATACCACTTCAGCACAGAACAAAGGGAACAAAAACCAGCTGAACAGTAAAGAAACACATCTGCTTGTTGTAGAACATCTGACCAACAAAAGCTAGAGAATATGGTAGAAAGTGAGCGGGGCTTTGAAGCTGCAGACCTGCATGCATGTCGCTGGTCAGCATTGTGCTTGCAGGAAAGAGAACATGTCTAATAAGGCTTACAAAGGTACTCATATGACTGCCCTGAGTTTGGGTCTGGGTCTATGAAGTGGCAACTAACAGGTGGGTGGAAACAAAAGTGTTTGTGGTCAAAAACAGACTAACAGTCTGACCTTGAACAAGGAGAAAATGGCAGTATGTTTACCCAGTAAACCTTGCACCTCCCGTCACCTGATCTACGCAAAATGAGTTTTCCACTATGACTGAACTGAAAAGTAACAGCAAAAAAAAAAATTAATGGTTTATCAACATGTTAACAAAGTGCAATTTTCTTACAGTTTGATACAAGTCCAAATACCTTATACACACACAAAAAAATATTGCAGCTCAAATGAAACTTCCAAGACTTGATTTGTGATATGAATAAGTCCTTCCCTGCACATGGCGTTACCAGCAGCCCAGGCTTAGAGTGGGGTGCGTTACATCAACCACTGCAAGTTAATAAGGTACAACCTGGGATTTGGGCAGAGTAGCAAGTGGGAGGGATCCAGAAATACCATGACAATCTCCAAAAGTATTTTGAAACTGCAACATATATTGAACATTATCTTTCCAAAACCTTGCAATTGTGGAATAGTGCTAGCAAATGACTGACAAAGGCCAAGAGGTCATCCACGGCAGCCCCACCAAACAGTCCTAGGTGTCAATAATGGAAGACTGACATCTCAGATGCCATTTTGACAGGCCAGATGACAGATAATTTAACATTTGTCAGGGACACATTTAATGTCATTTTCCTCATTATGTTTGAGGGACGTGGAGTGAATTTTCATAAATATAGCAATAATTCCTAACTCCCAACTCCACCGAACAACTACAAAACCAAGATTTTATTTATCGGGAAGGATCTCTATATAGTATTCCTACTCTATATACATAAACACAACAGAAGTACAGAGCGAGGAGAGAATTAACATCTTTGGTTGCAGGTTGCAACAAACCTGATGTTTTGACTACCCACCAAAATAATGCTTACAATAAAAAGTTAGTTGGATTTTTGTAAAACAGTAGTTCTGTCAGTATTTTTCTTGCATATGTACCATGTCTATGAGTCCTGATATTTGCTGAATCTCCAGTCTGCAGGGCTACATTAATGCTTGTTTAATATTCCACGCAGAGAACATAAAAAAAAACTTCACCACACAGTGAATAAGCCAGAAAACCTTACTAAGTGATTTCTGTAAAGAAGTACTTTCTGGACTAGATGCAACCACTAAATAAATTCTAAAATTAAGAAACAGATGATCAGTCACCCTGCTTGACTGGATTAAAAAGAATAACAAAGTCTACTTCCCTGCCAAAAGGTTAAGTTGCATTAAGTGAGTGTCCATGCTAACAGCTACTGAGAGAAACATGAGCACACAGTCCTGTTGTGCGTTGGTGTATTGCACCTTGAATGCAGCTGGAGACAGGGCTTGTGAAGGTGTGTGTGGGGGGGGGGTAGGCATGAACGGATCCCAACTCCATCCACCAAATTACTGCACAATAAAGCCTGGCTGTGGAGCCATACGAGGAGGGGGCCGCTGGGGAAGGCCAGGGGGATACTGGGGGAGGAAGGGGTTGGGATAGCCTGGGATTTGGCCCGGCACTTGGCCTGGCATGGGTCGGCCCATCCTGGGGGGGGCAGACAGGTATGGGACAGCTGGGTAGGGGACAGCTGGGTAGGGGACAGCCATGGGTTGGGGAGCTGGAACCTGAACTGGAGTTGGGACAGCTTGGGCTGCTGGAGGAGGCGGAGGTGCCCTCCTGGGGAGGGGAGTTGGGGGGCCTCGAGCCTCGGCAAGTGGAGCCGGGGTTTCTGGGAGGTTGGAAAGAGGGGTGGTGGTCGGGGCAGTTTGGGGAAGCTGCTGGCCTTTCATAACCATCTCCTGCAGCTTCTCGATCTTCACTCGGCGCAGATGCGCCAGCCTCCTTTTGCTCTGGTAGCTGTCGATGAAGGAGTCCAGAGACACGTCACCGTCCAAAAAGGAGTCGGCCATGTTCTGCATAGAAAAGAGTGAGAATTGAGTGCCGTCATACAAAACACCACCGCTGCTCAATATCCTATTTATCCAACTTTTACCTGCTCCTTTACCTACTGAAATGCTCTATCTGCAGTGACTTTTCAGAAACATTCTACCCCTGAGTTTCCATTTTTAACAACAGCCATTGTCCTGTAATAACAGACCCTAAACCACGTCCACATTCTTGGCGCGGTGGATGCTGGAAGGTTCCACTGCTGGCAGGAGTTTCTTAAAGTGGGGATAGTTGGACTGATCGGTTTCCGAAATTCTTTAACAGAAAGAAAAATAGCATAGAGCATCTGAGCCATACCTGAGCCGTACTGCAGAGAGACTAATTTACGTTCCAGTTTGCTTTGGGTTTCCACTGCAGAATGGTCGCACTGTAAAGGCGTTGCCGGGTTTGGAGAATGACAGTGACGTAAAACCCAAGAGGTTTATTTACTGCTAATTTCCTAATTTTCTAACACTTGTGTGAGAATTGCTGTTATGTCAGCATTAAACATGAGCATTCGTTTGCGTCACTACTCCATTCTGATCAGCTGTTCTATAGTACCTTTTTTTTTTTTTTTGAGTAGGAGATTCCGAGTTATTATGAATACACCGGTACATTGCCATGTGCGAATAATATATAGAATAATATATTATATAGAATAATATATAGAATAAACCCTAAAAGTTACTCGTGGCAAACAACCCAGCAAGTAGTGCAACAGGGATGCCCCGTAACCCCTAGAACTCACCTCTGTCTCTTCTTCGATCTTGGCCCCTTCAGTCTGCAGCAGAGCCAGTAGGGTGTCCAGGGAGCCATTTCCGGCGCTCTGGTCTGCGATTTAAAAAGGTAGCATTTGAGACTGAAGCGACTGCCCCTTGCAATGTACGTTTGGGTTGGGTTTGTGCGACTGCAAGTCCATCCTCAAACACAGGAAGATCACCAAAGCTCTGCTGAATGGCCTCACTAAGCTAACCATCATGATTGAGTGTGGACTTTGTCTTCTATCACCCCTTCCCATGCAAAAAAGCCAACTTCCGCAATTTCCTAGGGATTCGAGGTAAATCAACTACAGGCTGTCAAACATCCTAATCTCAGAAAAGGACATCTACGTCTCCATCATAGAGACATAACAGATCCATTCCGGATTCATGATCGGAGTGGAAGGGAAATTTAGAGGCGTGATGAGCCGGGGTCACTTGCATCACCAGTGGTAGCACATCTTATTGCATAGTGACTATCAGCCATAAAAAATTCATCATCATAAATTGCACTTTGCAACACTAGACCTCCATTTCTTCTTCAGGTAGAGCTGTGATATTCAATTCATATCTGTCATTCCGCCTCCCCCACCAAGCCACAGAATATCAGTTACTGCCCCCCCCCCCAGTGTGGGGCCACTGATCCCATGATGCCACTGCTGAACGACACCAAGCTGCCTGCCACTTATCCAGCTCAGTGTGGAAACGCGGTCAGAGTAACGAGAAGCTGGTACCAAGGGGGATGGAAAATGTGCAGAGTCACCCTTTGCTTCCACACTTTGGGCATTGTTTCAAAATGACTGTTGCCATGGAAAGCGCCCATGGACATGAGTCACAGTGAACAATGGGTCCTTTCGCTCGGGGGAGGCAAGTCCATTGGGGGAGGCAGTGGTGTTGCTTCGCTGGCTAAGCTTAGACTGCTATGAATTCATAACAGGCAGGACACCACAGGGGACTCTGCTGCCTTCATTTCCAACAAAGTCCCCGCTCTCTCTAGACAACGGACAGGCCGCTATTCAGCATTTTGACCAAAACGCAGGCGATGCACAAAAAAAAGCGGAAAGGTAGATTTAACAGAAGTCAAGAATAGACAGACCACCACTCAGCCCAAATGCTGGACTTTAAGCCATGGTCATCACTGTTTGAGGAAATATTCACACCTGAGAAGGTGCATACTTCCAAACACGGAAAGTATATTAGCACATATGTGAACTAAGTATGGTACATTGTTACTTTGAGGGGACTTCATTACATAAAGGAAAATGTTGTGCAGAAATTTATATATAAGATAAAGCATGACATCTGTACTGAGCCATGAAGAGGCAGAAACTGTTGTTACCACACCTGCTCCACCATGATTCCCAGAATGCACCGGGGTATGTTGACAGCAGCCAGGCGTTAACTACAAGCTGCCAAGAATCTCCTTCCAAGACAGCAGCTCGTGAGGCGCCACGATGGCGTGAAAAACAGCCACACGGATGCTGCTGAAGCTACGACAGGGAGCAGCCGTATGAGGGCTACGCCCAGCAAGAGTTACAGCCAAAGAACCAGTGGGAAGCCCTGGGGATTACCCCAGGCAAAGCACCCACAGCCCTGGGAAACCCAACCTGGCTCATTAAATACAACGAGACAATTACTGTGCCTAAGAAACTAAGAGGCTACAAACAAGCACAGGCTAAAAGGTACAAACAAGGAAGTACAAGCTAGCACAGACAGGTATAAGTACATGTTGGCTAACACATGTTAGCACCAACGGGGACAAATAAGAAGCACAGACGGTATAGTCTGGACACACTGAGCTTGGACTGTGCTAGAACATGACCCTGCTGTATTCTGATCATTTTATTTTCAACAGCCTCCATCTTCTCCATCTTGTGTGTATCGAAATGCATTACTCTAATTAGCTTTTCATTTTTATGTCATTCCCGTAATTGTAGGCAGGAATCACGTAGCCTCCGACATGACCACGCAGAATGGACTGGCTCTTGATTTTCTTTCAGCCTCCTAAATGTGGAGTGTGTGCCTTGATAAGTAACACCAGCCGTAACCATTCCTGCCCGTGACGACGAACATGGTAATCTGATCAAAGCTATCAGACAGCTCACTGAGGTGGGGGACGAACTGGGAAAGGACAGAGGCATCTCCTGTGACTGGACTCCATTCATATTCATTCATATGAGGGGCAATTGTTTATCTACCTGAGTATAAAAGAAAAGTTTAAAAAAAAAAATTGTTTTATTTTTCAATATAGTCCCCTTACAACTCCAAACACTTTATCCACTTTTCCTGCAATGACCTTAACCCCTTTGGAAAAAAAATCTTCTGTTTGACCTTCAAACCATGACGTCACAGCTGTCTGGGCGTCTTCATCACTTGAAAACCGTTGACAAGGAGAGATTTCTTCAAAACTCGGAACAGGAAACAATCTGAGGGAGCCAGGTTAGGACTGTAGGGTGGATGGTTCAGCCTTTGGAAGCCACATTTTTGGATGGCAGCCTGTGATTGACGTGACATGTGATCCGGCGCATTGTCGTGAAGTAGCAGCACGCCTGCCGAGAGTTTTGCTCATCTCTTCTCCTTGATTGACTCCCGCAAAGCGATCATAGTGTTGGCGTAACTCTCCCCGCTTATGGTTGTCTTATGTGGCATGAACTCCAGAAGCAAAAGTCCTTCAATTTCCCAGAAGACAGTCGTCATGACTTTGCCTGCAGATCTTTCTGCCTTGAACTCTTTTTGTGGTGGGGGATGACTTGTGCTTCCACTGCAATGACTCCATTTTGGACTCGGTATCTCTGTGAGAAACCCAAGTCTCTTCTCCAGACACCGAAAGATGAAAAAAATTCACTCGGTCTTCACAGGACATCTCCAAGTTCTCCTGACAGCATTGGAGCCTTGTGGCCTTCAGACATGGCATCAGCATTCTTGGAGCCCATCTTGCACCCATCTTTGCCATGCCCAGCTTTTCATTAATTATTTTCCAAACTGTACCTGCTGAGATGCCCATTTCATCAGCTATTCGGGAAACCTTAAGTCATCTTAAACTTAAGTTGTCTTAAACCGCTTGCTCCAAAATTTTACTTTGTAGGATGATGGGGCAGACTCACCATAAACTGCAGTCATGTGTTCATGGATCTCCTTTGGCTTTTTCCCTTCTGTTTTGAGAAACAACTGATCGTTGCTCCAAATCTAGCATTTTCTTACTTGATTCATACAAGGACTCTGGACATCCGGTCTCTTGAAAATCTTAGACTGGCTCTGAGCCACAACTGTGCATGAGTAACATTAAAACATGTCACAACATACCCAGACACGCTTGCTACTTTCATACTCAGGTAGATAAATTATTGAACGCTCCTCGTATTTAGAAAACTGGTTAGATAGCTGGGGGTCGTTTTTGTTGAAGATTCTTAGAGTAGCAAGGCCATAATTTGCTTTTAGTGATGCCTATTCCCTTTGTACTCCCTATCCTCCACAGCCTTGGTCAGTGAGAAGGCATTTTATATCCCATCTCAGGCCTTTTCTAGGCTGCGTCCTGGCCTTGGCTGGTGAGACCTGGAGTACCATTTTATCTCAACTTAGACTCAAGTGCAAAAACTAGAGACAGAATGTTCTGCAAATTCTTAGGCAACAGTATCTCTTAATTAAACAGCAATCCAATATCTCATGAACAACCTGGGTCCTATTTAAAAGATCAAAAACACAAGCTCTGAAGCACACGGCACAAGTTCTTTTAGGGAGTGGCTAACCCACTTTTGCTAGTTTAACAGCGGAAAAATAGTCACAGCACCAGGCACATGGTCTAAAAGGGTCACACATAAGTCTCATAATTAGTCACGGATGTGTTAGGGCACAACATGCTATAAACCAATCAGACTGTCATCTCCCATTCACTTTTAAAGCCAGGTGGGGGACTGCTATCATAATAGTGGACTTGCCAGGTAGTAGACAGAAGGGCTTATCTACAGAGGAGACAGATCTGCTGGAGCACAAAGTGAAAGTACCCCAGTAGACCATCTATGAAACAGCAGCTTTATAATCAATAAATAACAATAAGAATTTATTATTACTATTGTTATTATTATTATTGTTGTTATTATTATTATAGCAGTTCCCCTGTATCCGCAGGCGATATGTTCCAAGACCTACTGCGGACAGTCGAAACTGCAGATAACAGCAAACCATCCGCGGGTCTCACATATATGATATGATGTTCATATACATACATTTGGTAAAGTTTAATTGATAAATTAAACATAATAAGATTAGTAATGTTAAATGAAGTATTATAAAGCATGTGGACATTATACATTACTGTACAGTATTGTACTCTCCAAAATGAAAGGGATTCTTACGTTTTAGCCTAAATCGCGTAAGAAATTACAATTTTTATACCACTCAAAGAACAAAGGAATGATGAAAAATACAGGGTACTGTTACACATTTTACAATGAAAATATAGTATCATGTACCTGTACATAACCTGTAATGAGAAAAGTTGGTTTAAAAATATCTTAGCCTATTGAGAGTACTTACCGGCTAGCCTTAGCGTACTGAGAGTACTTACCGGCTAGCCTTAGCGTACTGAGAGTACTTACCGGCTAGCCTTAGCGTACTGAGAGTACTTACCGGCTAGCCTTAG